CCTGCTGAAAACTGCCAGGTGCAGAAAGACCTGTTTTTAGTAACGCTTTAACAGTGTTGAAATAAAACTTTCAGTGCACACCAACCATACCTGTTTTCAGCATCTGCTTAGCAGAAGCTGTTGTTAACAAAGGATAATGAATGAAGATCAACTAGGTAATGCTGATGAAGCTTTTGAACTCCTTTTGCTGACCAGTGTTGATCATATTATGGGGTACAGTTGGATCCTAGGACAGCCAAATCATATTTGCTGCTATTAAAAGAGGATTCAGCAGCAACATAAACCAAGTGCTCAAGGATTCCAAAGAGCAAAAACACAACCGGTGGTCCAGTATTACACATGTGAGTAACTTTATTAAAGTGGTTTGAGTTTTAAACTAATTAACTTGCAATATAGGTACCCAGGTAAGATATGAGTAATGATTAGCATCATATCTTACCAGCGGGGGAAAAAGAAACACCAAAAAACACCAAACAAACAAACAAAAAAAACACAAACAAACAAACAAACAAACAAGGGGAAAAAAGGGAAAGAAAAAAAATAAATCCCCAGAGTTTCATCAACCATGGGAGTCTCTGGGCTTTACTGAGGATTCTATCAATCATTGCCAAACAGGCTGTGCACATACAGACAATTGTGTACTGGGTGGTGCCAGAACTCAGGATTTATGGGAGCCCTTATTTGCAGACAATTAAGAACCCAAAAGTGCAGTGAGAAGCAACTTCAGGCAGCCAAAAAAACCCAAACCAACTACTTAGTGAATGTTCTGAAATGCTAAATGGCTCATTTGACAAGAACTCTTCTCTTCAGAAGACTGCATTTTCTGTTTGGAGTATTCTGTTTTGGAGTATAAGGGATCTCCTAGTGTCATAAGGCAGAAGCTTCGTACTACTTTAAGTGGACCAAAACCAAGTATGCTCATTTCTAACACAGGACAGACTGCTGTTATGTATGTATGAAAAGAGTTGGTTTTGTAAATGTGCAAGCTAATGTGCATGAAAACAGGTACGTTCTATACCTTAGTATTTACTGTTCAGATTCTCTCAGTGGCTACAAAACCTTGCAAAACTCAAATGTGAAAACTAAGGAGCTGAGTAAGGCATCTCAAGGGTATTCTCAGAAGGTATTAAATACATACAGTGTGATCCACGTACACTGAATTTCTCTCTGGCATCAGACTCAAAAACGTCTTTCATGACAGAAAGCATTTGATACTTAAAAATTAACAGATTAAAAGAAAAAGGCACCTGAGTATAAGGCTTCTCCTAGTATCATGAGGCAGAAGCTTCTTACTACTTTAAGTGCACCAAACTGTGCACTTCACAGTTACAAATAAAATAGCACGTGGGAAGACACTACAGCTAGTCAAGAAGAGATTCATCAGGAAGAAAAGTTGCCAGGAAGAACATGGCAGCAATTTTATTATCTGTACATATCACAAGTTGAAGAATTTACAAAGTGATCACAGTGGGAAAATAAATAAATGGAATAAAGGGAAAATAATTCACTACACAGGGACAAAGAGTTGCAATAGACTAACAGTGAATCATTTTCAAAAGAGGAAAAATCACCCTATTCTACTCTTAAGTAAGAGCTATTAGAACATACATCAGAAAATGCAAACAAAGAGCTCTCTTCCATTTCACTTTCCAGTAACTACAAAACCCTTAGTCTGAGACGCAGGACAGTCAGGCTGCATAGTGTACTGTTTTATGGCAATGTGCAATCGCAGCCCAGAAATCCAACCATATCCTGAGCATGACCAGCAGGTTGAGGAAAGTGACTCTTCCCTTGTACTCCACTCTCATGAGACCCCACCTGGGGTAGTGTGCTCAGTTCTGGGGCCCCCAACATAAGAAGGGTGTGGAGCTGCTGAAGCGGGTACAGAGGAGGGCCACAGAGATGATCAGAAGGCTAGAGTACCTCTACAATGAAGACAGGCTGAAAGAGTTGGGCTTGTTCAGCCTGGAGAACAGAAGGTTCCAGGGAGACCTTATAGCAGCCTTGCTAGTACCTAAAAGTGCCAACACGAAAGCTGGAGAGAGACTTAACAAGGGCATGTAGTTACAGGACAAGGGGGAATGGCTTTAAACTGCAAGGGGGTAGATTTAGATTACATATAGGAAGATATTCTTCACTAGGAGGGTGGTGAGGCCCTGGAACAGCTTGCTTGGAGAAGCGGTGGCTGCCCCACCCCTGGCAGTGTTCAAGGCCAGGCTGGACGGGGCTTTGAGTAACTTCGTCTAGAGGAAGGGGTCCCTGCCCGTGGTAAGGGGGTTGAAACTAGATGATCTTTAAGGTCTCTTACAATCCAAACCATTTTATGATTCTATGGAGCACACAGTAGACATCATCAGTGTTTACATCTGACCTTATCTCAAACAGCTTTTCTAATAGGATTCTGGTCCTTCGAAGAAAGGATTTTTCAGCTATCACTTAAAGATAATAAATTCTGTATGCACCAACATGCAATCCAGCTTATCTTTGTGTCTGACACATTTCTTAGTGTCTCAAGAGCATCCGTTGTCTTCAGCCAATCAGTCTGTTCATCAGCCACCATTTCATACACTAATTAGTAGCCTGAGGAAGCAAGCCTTAACATGCTAAACTCCCTCACAGAAAGAGATCTGGACTGCTACTGGTCCCATAATGCTACTTCCCAGAAAGATTTTTGCAAAGGTTAGAGATTCATACTGTGACCTATAGTTTCCATAGAGAATATCTGCAGGGGTTGCCACTGAAGAAAAACAAAACCAAACAAGTAGCTTTTAGAAAAATCCAACCAGCAGAGTCTTTGTTATATAAGCTTTTGCCAGTGACTTGAGCCATACCTTGCCA